ATATATTATTGTTGTTGGGAAGAAATAATAGAGACATTTTGATTTTTGAATTTTGATTATTTTTGATATAGATTTATTATTTGATGTTTTTTGAATTAATTTATAAATAATAATTATAATTGTAATTATAATTAGAATTATATATTTTTTGATATATTTGTATTATTTGAATTCTTAATTAAATTAATATATTATATTTATTAGTTCGGTTATTTGGATATTTAGGATAATTTGAATTTTATTCGGACTTTGTTTGGGGGGTTTTGTTTTTGACCTTTTTAAAATTATTTATTTTGTTATTGAATTTCTATATAGGAAATTATATTGGAATATAACGATCTTTATTCCTGGCTTATTTCTTTGCTCCTAGTTTGTCCTTGCCTATTTATTACTTTTGCTATTTTGTTTTAGTTGGTACTGCCTCATTACCTGATTTTGTTTATTCCGGCGTTGCAACCAATGGGCTTCGGCTGATTGTAATAACCCTAACGTTTATGTTCCCAGAAATTATAGTAATAAAAATCCATGATATTAGTATGTAAATCAAATGGCCCAAAACTCCTTTCGACATAAACAAACTAGTATAATATATAATGAGTATCATCAATATTATATTTTAAATTATGAAATATAATTTAAACATAGAGGTGATATAACCCTAATATAATCCGATTATATCGATGTTGCCTTATAGAAATAAAACATTATATCAATCTATCCGATTATATTTAAATGTAAAATATTAATAACATTTAATTATATTTATCATTATTTATATATTGAAATATAAAAATGAAAATTAATATATATATAGTTAATAAATATATATTCTTTTTATTTTCTTCCTTTTAAGTATTTATTCCGATTTTAGTTATTAGTCCTAATATTCGATTTATAAAAAGGAGAAAAGAATTTTAATTATCATTTGCAAAATTAATATGTTTTATTAATTAAAATATAATTCTTAAAATCTCGAATCTATTCGGAATTTATTAATAAATTTATAAAAGGACAAAAATAAACAATCTTTTTATAAAATAATTATCATTTGCAAAATTTATATTCATAAGATCTTTTTCCCCTCCCTATAATGTTCTTTTATAAATTCGATATTAGTTTTCTTTATAAACCCATTAATAGGTTCTAATTAAAACTAAAAATAATATATAATAAATATAATCGATTTAATTATTATTTTAATATAGTAATAAATTATATTATATATATAATATTAAATTTATTATATATTATATATATTCAAAATAAAAAATATTATATAAATATATTTAAAAACATAAAATAACAAAAAATCAATTTGAATAATTATAAATATATATATATATTTATATTCACAAAAACAAAAATAAACAAACCAAACAAATAATTAACAAAAAATAAGTTCAATATATTTCGAAAAAATCAACAACTATAATTTTAAATCTGTATTTTTAACCCTACCTAAACAAAATATTTCGAAAGATTATACACTACATTACACTACACAAACAAACAAACACACAAACAAACAAACAAACACAAACTACAAAAACGTACATAATCCCCAAACCACCAATCCAAACCAACAATTAAAGATAAATTAAAATAGGTGCTATAATGAGTATACCAAAAACAGAATAAATCTTATAAAGCACCAATATATTTTAGCATTTCATAAAAAATATATATTAAAACATATATACTCGTCGTATGCGAAAAACACACTACCATTCTCCAAACACAAATCGTAAAACATATTAAAAGCCGAACTAATCATAATAAGGTCATACCAAAGAATGAATAAAAGGTGGTCGCCTAAACAAAATAAAAACGAATCCGCGAGCGATTAGCCTCAAAAAATCCATCCATATATATAATTGTTATAAGTACAAACGAAAACATAATCGACCAAAAATATCCTAAGTATAAACAAAACCAAATTAATTTCGCCCAAAGCATTAAGAAAAACACCATTAATCATAACAATCGGTCACGACTCACAATTTCTCGTATCGCCAAACTCTCGGAAAATAAACCAAAATTTCAGCCATAATTATAATTATTACATCTATAATAATTATTATATTTATAAATATATATTTTATATTAACTAATCATAATAAATGAATTCTATATATATATATATTAGAAATATATAATTAATTCCCTTATATATAGTATGTAAATCCTTAATACTTCAATCATGATTCTCGATTCTCCGGTCTCGACTTACGACTCTCTCTCAAGTTGCCCTCTTACCTCTCAAATAGTGCATAACTCCCACCTCTCGACTCGCAAGACTCTCGACTTTGGGGGAGCGTTTTTGCGCTTGTCTTGGGCGGCGTCTTTGGGGATGTCTGTGCTGGGTTGTCTTGGGTTGTGACTGGGGATGTCTTTGAGGATGTCTTGAGAAATTGGAGGACCTTTTTTTGGTGGATTTGCACGTGTCTGCTTTCGGGTTTACGGCCTCTATCAGCTTTTATGTTTGTTGCGTTTTTCAGCACCCACAAACCATTTCGTATCCCTCTTATGGTTGGTTTCCTGTCGGCTTCTCTTTCCACCTTCATGTTTGAAGCCAAGATCATATTAGACGACAGTGTTGTTATTTTTTGGAAATGCGAATGTGCCTTGCCAAGGTGCTTGAACCGCTACGCCGCACACAGCGATTTTACCCATTCCGCGCGAACAGCTGAGCAGATTGGAAAAAGCCAAGCGACATGCGAAGCGATTCTTCCCATACGCTCCTCTTTGGCGCACAGGGCACAACTGGGACAGGCCAGATCCCTCGCGTGCTTTTGCCACCCAAAACCAACATGGATCCTGAAAGAAGGTGTAAAAGGGTCCGGGGATGTCTGGGAGGTTCCCTTTCTGGTCCTTTGGGAGGAACGGCTTTCTCACTTAGCTGCCAGGGCAACGTTTGGAATCCCAAGACGCGAGCCTGCTCCCAGCAAGTCCCAAGATCTACGAAAGAACAAGGTTGCTCCCATACGCCTGAAGGGACTGGGTGCTTGGAAAAGGAAAGCAGGGCCCCAAATCAACTTTGCAAAAACAGTAAAACAAAAAAACATGATTTCCAGTAGTGGTAGATTCCTTTTAACACCGGGCTGCCCTCAGATCCCCCGCTCAAAGTTTTAACTTTTGGTGGGCTAAATTCGGAAACTACCACTAAAGACTAAAAGGATCTAAAAAGCTAAGGGACCGGATGGCTGGGAGCCACCAAGAAGAACATGTTCTTAGGCAACCGGAAGTCTTGTGGTTTGGTCCCTTTGATCGGAGCAACCCTGCAGGCAATTCCAACGGCTTCGGCTTGGCCGAAGCATTTCGGGCCGCCGCATATGTCGCGGGGTGACCCCACACTTTTTGTGTACCACTAAAATGGTCGTCCAAAAAAATGGTATAACCTCCAGAGACTCAGGAATCCGCAGAGTTCCGTGTTTTTGCTACCCCAAAAATCGATTTAAACCAGGGTTCCATTCTTTGACTGCCCCAAGGTCGACTTAAACCCACTGGTTGATTTCCCCAAAAGGGAAACCCCAGGAAGACCGGGCTGCCCTCAGATACCCCGCTCAGAGTTTGACTTTTAGTGTTAAATTCGGAAACTACCACTAAAGACTAAAAGGATCTAAAAAGCTAAGGGACCGGATGGCTGGGAGCCACCAAGCAGAACATGTTCTTCAGCAACCGGAAGTCTTGTGGTTTGGTCCCTTTGATCGGAGCAACCCTGCAGGCAATTCCAACGGCTTCGGCTTGGCCGAAGCATTTCGGGCCGCCGCATATGTCGCGGGGTGACCCCACAATTTTTGTTTACCACTAAAATGGTCGTCCAAAAAAATGGTATAACCTCCAGAGACTGAGGAATCCGCAGAGTTCCGTTTTTTTGCTACCCCAAAAATCGACTTAAACCAGGGTTCCATTCTTTGACTGCCCCAAGGTCGACTTAAACCCACTGGTTGATTTCCCCAAAAGGGAAACCCCAGGAAGACCGGGCTGCCCTCAGATACCCCGCTCAGAGTTTGACTTTTAGTGTTAAATTCGGAAACTACCACTAAAGACTAAAAGGATCTAAAAAGCTAAGGGACCGGATGGCTGGGAGCCACCAAGAAGAACATGTTCTTAGGCAACCGGAAGTCTTGTGGTTTGGTCCCTTTGATCGGAGCAACCCTGCAGGCAATTCCAACGGCTTCGGCTTGGCCGAAGCATTTCGGGCCGCCGCATATGTCGCGGGGTGACCCCACACTTTTTGTGTACCACTAAAATGGTCGTCCAAAAAAATGGTATAACCTCCAGAGACTCAGGAATCCGCAGAGTTCCGTGTTTTTGCTACCCCAAAAATCGATTTAAACCAGGGTTCCATTCTTTGACTGCCCCAAGGTCGACTTAAACCCACTGGTTGATTTCCCCAAAAGGGAAACCCCAGGAAGACCGGGCTGCCCTCAGATACCCCGCTCAGAGTTTGACTTTTAGTGTTAAATTCGGAAACTACCACTAAAGACTAAAAGGATCTAAAAAGCTAAGGGACCGGATGGCTGGGAGCCACCAAGCAGAACATGTTCTTCAGCAACCGGAAGTCTTGTGGTTTGGTCCCTTTGATCGGAGCAACCCTGCAGGCAATTCCAACGGCTTCGGCTTGGCCGAAGCATTTCGGGCCGCCGCATATGTCGCGGGGTGACCCCACAATTTTTGTTTACCACTAAAATGGTCGTCCAAAAAAATGGTATAACCTCCAGAGACTGAGGAATCCGCAGAGTTCCGTTTTTTTGCTACCCCAAAAATCGACTTAAACCAGGGTTCCATTCTTTGACTGCCCCAAGGTCGACTTAAACCCACTGGTTGATTTCCCCAAAAGGGAAACCCCAGGAAGACCGGGCTGCCCTCAGATACCCCGCTCAGAGTTTGACTTTTAGTGGGTTAAATTCGGAAACTGCCACTCAAGACTAAAAAGCTAAGGGACCGGATGGCTGGGAGCCACCAAGAGAGAAGAACAAACAGCCCATTGGAGAACTTCCGGAAGTAGGGACTCAGGGGTCACCTGGCCGATTTCTGAGCAAAACGTCACGGCGCCTCAACGAAAGTCCCATGGCGAGCATTGGCCAGTACCTGGGCGCGATCGCAATCTCTCCCAGGTGTTTAGAGCAAAAACATATGGATGAAAACCCAATGTCCTAAACAACGAATAGGATATCAGTGATTTTGCAAACTACTCCCCGGGAAACCAGCTATATCCTTCTTTTGGTGGCTACATATACATACATATTGTATCCAATTAAGCCATGTGCGTGTGAGTGTGAGTGTTTTTCAAGCAGATTCTGAACTCCCTTCAAGTTGGTTCACTGGGTTTCTTGTTTTCCCTTGAGCTTCTAGATCTTAAACACTGGCGATTTCGAAAAAGGGCAACACCCCAACAAAGATGAGAGAAAAACAAGAGCAAGAACCAGGATAACCATCCCCATGGGTGTGTCTGTTTTTAAAAGGGGACCCCCCAACTTGGCCCCACCTTAACACAACGCCACAGAAAAATGGTGCCTGTTTGTTTTCCCCAAGCGCCCTCGGTCTTTGCATCCAAGCGCTTCCAATGTGCTTGCCGCGCAAAGTCACGCCCTGAACTGGGTATGTTTTTTTGTTTTCTTTTTTTTTTTTTTTTTGGGGGGGGGGGGATGCTATAAAGGCACTGTGTCTTGTGGTGCCACTTTAAAAGCGGTTGAAATTCAAATCCAGATGCTTCTCCCAGAGAAGATGGGGCCCCTCTCCAACTTTGCATTTCAAGCAACCAAGACAGGCTCTCGAACTTTTCAGGACCCCTGGTTCGTTGTCGAGATGACCTTTGGGAAAAATGACGACAATGGCCAATGGTTACAAGATGACACCAGTGCTATGGTTTTTCACCAGGGAAACCTTCGTTTTGCTCCTTTTCTTGTTTGCGAAATTGAGATCCAAATGTCTCGGGTCTATGCACGATTCTACGGATTAAGCTCACCTTTCTCAGACCTGCTCATGGTTTGCCACGTTTGCACGGCGCCCAAAAATACTTCCTGGTCTCAGTGTGGCCAATCCCCGCAAGCCTGTGAGAAAGTGTGTTTCTTGATTGGGCGCCCTTGATGGGGTTGTCTTCAAACAAAAATCAAAGGGGAACCCACTATCTTTGCGAAAGGGATCCGGTTTACTCACCAGCCTTGCCGCGCAGCCAAACAGCACGCAGCACATGCAGCAGGAGAGTACAAGCAGAGCAAGATGCAAAAGAGGACAAGCAAAGCAGGTAGCATGAGAGCACATGCGAGGGAAAGTGAGCAGCAACTCTTAAGGCTCGGGGGCAACATGACTCAAACATAACAGACTCGCCGTGCAATGCAACTGCCTAGTTTGCAGGCATTGGCTGCAGCACTTGCACCGTCATCCCTTTCAACACCATTCCCCCAAGAGAAACCTCACTTTGAAAACCAAAACAACCAAACCGCGATCTTCAAAAACAGCACATCGAGCTAGCTGGAAACTGGGGTCAAAGCGGGCCAAATCCTTTACCCAATAGCCTCTGCATCAACTCCTCTCAAAACTGGTTGCTTGGAAATCACCAAAATTTCTCCCTCGCAAACGTTGTCTTCTTCAAAAACATGGGCCACCTCGCAGTTCATGGGGTCAAAACCCGCCACAACTAAACCGGGCCTTCCGCTGGTCGTCCGTCTGCTTCTCCGGCAGGGCGGCGACCCCGACGACCCACACGCCTCGCAAAGCCGAGGATGGCAGCCAAAACTTGGCCAAACTGCGTGCCTCACGGGCACGTCAGGCATTAGCAGCATGCCATGTTTTTGTTTTTTCGGCTTCCCTGAAAACCACCAAGACCTCAATACACTTAAATGAACGCACAAATGGGTTGTCTTGCCGCGAGTCAGGAATGAAACTGATTTGACAACTTGGACAGATGTCTGCAGCCCCTTCAACAAGTGACAACTGCTTGCAGGTTTGAAGGGAACATGCAGGAAACCCGACAGGACAAATGGCAAGGCGAGTTCAGTCTGGCAATTTCCAAGAAGCTTCCTCGCAATTCACACGTTCAAACTTCACCAAAGGGAGGTGGGGAATACAAGTCATTGTCAGCCCAGCGCTTCTGGTACAAGTGAACCCGCAAAGCAGGGTTGACTGCATGTCCACAAACACACATAATAATATATATATATATAACGAACAACAAAAAAAAACGTGGTGCCACTAAACAGCTGGGCAAAGGGAAAGAACAAGGGGATCTGGGTGCAGAAAAAAGTGTCAGATTCCGCTTGCCCCAAAAAAGAGCCAGTTCTGAAGGAAGCCTCAGTTGAAACAGTCGCTTAAACCATGCTTTCACCAAAGGGTTGCATAGGCCAGCTGCCCCCCAGACGGAATCAAGCTGCTTTTGGTGTGCCAAATCAAGGGATCCAACACATGGCCCATCGGGTAATGCTTAAGCCACCCAAGGGAAATATAGCTGGGCTGTCTGTTTTGGATCCCCTGCTAAAAGTTTCACTCTTCGTGGGTTAACTGGAAACCCCCACTAAACCCTAAAAAGCTAAGGCACCGGATGGCTGGAACCACCGCCAAATAAGGGTGTGTGTTAAAATGAGGGGGAAACCCCAAACAAGTGTGGTTTTTGTCTTCCTTTCGGCTTCCAACCAACGGCTAGCTTGCAGTCCCTCGGTTCTCGGTCATAAATGGCTTCGGATCCTGTCTTCCAAAAGGGTCCCGTAGGGACGAGCATGTTGATGTTGCCCACAGGGAAGTTTTCTTTGAATGGTCTTTCAAATCCCAAGACTTTCTCCCTGTTTGGCAAAAACACGTCCAAACTTGTTGTTTACCACTCCGAAAACTGCAGACGTGAGAAAAGGGACTTCCTTTGGACACACCCTGTCTACCAGCAAAGTCTCTCCGACGGGCTAAGCGCAGAATAACAAACACTGTCTGAAAATGGGAGCCCCAAACCCAGTTGCTTGGTGACCCTAGAGAACGTGGGGGATCCCAACACACAGGGAATAAGGAAGGATTTACCCCTTGAAAGCTCGTGTCAACTCTGAACTCTAAACATCTAAGGAATCTAAAGCGGATGGACAAACAGAAGGGTGAAGTGAAGGGTCATCTCCTTGGACTGAATCTTTTGGCTCGCACCATCCCGCGCAACAGCAACCCTCAGAGCCCTTGGCCTCCGTCTTCCTTGGTGCATTCGAATTTGTAGGGGGCCACCCTCCCAATAGCACCCCTGTTCCGCCCCAAACCTCTGTGGCCCTGTGGTTGCAAACAACTCAATGCACTGCAGGCCGTTGATTCTGAGGGGCAACGCTCCAAAACGAGAAAACCCCCGCGCCTGCCGTGATTTCCGCGACCTCCAGGGTGCGCAAGCAGGCGCCATCCGGCAGTCGCCAGTACATCACCTTTCGGGTGGTGAAGGGAACTCACCAGGAAACCAACCCCGCACTTCCGATACAGTGGATTGGACCAGACTCGTTGTTTGCCACAAAATGTGTTTCTTCCCAAAAAGTGACTAAAGTCCAGGAACTTAGGAAGCGAGTTTTGAGAAACGCCCAAAGTCGATGGCCGCATTTGCGGAAACCACACCACACATTCTTTGGACGGACCCCGCCAAGGTATTGGTTGAACGCAAGGGAGCCTGGAACCACATGTGGAGCAAACAAACATTTGTCAACCTTTGTTAGCTTCCTGTGCCATATCGTACATTACGTATGTTGTTTGTTTTACACTCATTTCAAAATCGGCGCGCTGCAAAAAACTTTGGATCCCTTTCGGATGGTTTGGAAACCTGAAACCAGCCAGCTACTTCTCCGCCTCCAACCCAAGGCGGTCTTGCAACTGTAGGAACTAACCTTTGAATAACATTAACCTCTTGCAAAATAACAATAACCCTTAACCCTTGCAAAATAACTAGCCTTGAAACTCTTAACCCCAACATTAAGCAATAACCTCTTGTTTTGTTTGTTTTGTTTTTTTTAGAGAAAAGGCTTGCAACTTGTTGCAATGATGTCCGAGAACCAATATTTGTGTGCTCCGAACATTAGCTTGTGGTCAATCTGTTGCGGCCAATTTGTGCTGTGCCAGCGACCTACATGAGCAGATTTAACATTGTTCTTTTACTACTCGATATGACCAAGCAAAATTCAGAAAACATAAACTTATTCTTTTCAATAACCACAAACAACAAAAAAGCAAAGCAACGAGGCCCATGATGTTGGGAGCATACTTGGCACCCCCCAAAAAAGAAAATCCCGCTCGGCTGGAGGCTGCGCCTTACCGTCCCGTCCTCCGCTCACAAAGTGACCTGCGCGGAGCCCAAATTGCCATGGGTCAAAACCCCGTACCCCCAGTGAACATCCCAATCCCCACTGAAATCGAGTAAAATCGGTGGTGCACCTACCCCAAAATGGTGCCATTGGTGTTACTTGACCCACAGCCAAATTGCGGTGAAAAGTATGCAGCTCCGCTCATCTTGGTGACTCTCCTCCTCCCAAAAAAGACACGGAGATCACCCCCAAAGCTGGTGGTGCTCCTTCCTTTAAACCTTGGTTGCTGGCGAGACCACTCTGCAAAAAGTGAATGACTTTTTGTGGTCAGTTGGAAAATCCACAGTTTCCACCACAAAGTTCAAGTCCAAAGATCCAACCCAAATAGCCTTAAAAAATGGGCACGAGTCCCCCGGCGGGAAATGCAGTGAGTCCCCCCGTGCCCCACTGAATACATGGAACGAATCCTGGGTGTTTCCTGCAATTACCCCGCCTTTCAAATCTGACCGTCGTTTTTTGGAGGGACAGGTGAGCCAACCATGCAGAGCGTCACCATGCTTTGCGCCATCCCAGATGCGAATTCTGCCTTTCTTGGCGACTGTATCAACATTTAGGATAAATATAAAACCTGGACAACTGGCGAATTCACCTTTCGGAACCCACAATTTTAACAGGTTTGTCAACCCCCTGGGCCAAAGTTCAGCCGGGCTCTCATTTTGGTATCCTCTTCAGAAGGCGGCACAACCATGAGGTCAAAAGACCCTGGAGCAAACGACCGCTGGGCACCGGGAAAGACCCGGCCTTCGTGCACTTGTGACAGGCAGATCACGCCCTCCTCACACAAAATAAGCCCAAAGTCGTTGTTTCTTGGTTGCTGTTGACCCCCTGCAAAAGTTTAACTTTTTGGGGGGTTTAGTGGACAACGCCTTGACTTCCCAAAAAGTCAAAGTCTCTGACTGGGAAAAGTAAGTTTAACCCGTCCCGCCCACGAACACCGTAGGTTACCGACTCAACAGTAAGAAGGGGCGATGATCAAAACATGGAAACACTCCCACCGAATTGTTTTTGGGCTTGGATTCCTCGTTTAAACTAGACACACCTCTCAGGTCGCATCAATTGAGGCTTCCCAAACTGGTTCGAAGAATCTGTCCACGTCTATTTCGCCGCCAATGTGGACCCCGGATTAATACACAGCAACGCCTGTTTAAGGTGGAAGCTTCCCCCCCCCACTCAACCAAAAACACCAACCTTAATTAGTAAACAGGGGTTTTGTTTAATCCGGGGTCAACATTATGTCAAATGCTCCCGAACTCTCCCCGGGACCAACCCAAGGTTCTGCATCCAGCTCGTGCCCTGACAAAAATTACGCAAGCCGCAAGTCGCACATCAAGCAAATGATGTCTCAGATGCCCACTGGATTTCCATGGGAAATTGGGCATCCTTTTTTGGGTTGCTGGACTTTAAAGTAAAACCCTTCCAACCGAGAAAAAAACAAAAGGAAAAAAGGGCACAGCTGGCGATGCGTCTAAGACCAAACACCCCTCCAAACATTCGGTTTCATGTTGTATTCCTTCGAACCAACAGGGGATAAAGGGGGGGGGGGGGCTCCAACCAGCTTTGACACACCAAAGGTAAGATGTTGAACAAGATGTGCGATATTGGGACCTGTGCTCTGGTGAAAAATACTGGTACTTTTCAGCATGTGTGTTCTTCAATCCCAACCCCCCAAGCAACGCTTAGCTGCAAAACATCAAAACAACAACTTGCAAGTATATGTTTTTGCCGTTGGATTGAAGATTATGAGATTACTCCACAACATAGATGTCGGAGATTCTAAAAATCCTGGCCAGCCAAACCCACAACTCCGCAAGCCGCTTTCACGGGCTTTAAACGTGCTAAAGCGCTTTTTTCTCAGTGGATCGAAGAAGGAAGATTCCACAGGAATTGGTGAGATATTGATAAATCTTCAGACCCATAAAACTCTTGCAATCTTCTTGAACAACTTTAAACAAACTAACAACATATCAACCAAGAACAGCGAACTTCAGTGTGTCGCGCCAGCAGGATATGCGCATGCACGGTTTTCGGTTTCCACACCAATTTATCCGTTTCTCGTGGACTGAGTCCTTGTGCGCAGTCAGCACCTGCTGGACAGTGCCCAGGGTGTCCCAAATCCTCACGCAGTTCGCAGTGTGACACAGGTGAGCCTGGGTTTATCTCAAAATACCGGTACTGGAACCCACAAAATGTTTGGTTTCCTTTTGGTTTCGCGTTAAAGGCCCAGAAAAGGGTACTAACAAAAGATACGCCACGACCCACTGTACCATACGGGGAACAACCCAAGCACTGTGTGCCAGAACAAACGCATGGCCGGGGTGCAAATCTGCCCGTCGCGATTGGAGGCCGTTCCAGTAGAGAGGTTAGAATAAGGGTACTCTTTTCTGTCTACTTTAGTAGGGGAACCCTCCCCCGCAAAAAAAAAGGGGAGAGAAGGGCACTACTGGGGGACCTGGTTTCCAAATTTGGTGGTGGGGTTTGGTTTGGAGGTTGCCCTCTAGAAGCAAGGGCGCAACCGCCTCACCAATCCACTTCCAAGGGTCCAGTACTTCTCAGCCAACCTTCAATCCCCAAGCCAAACCACCTGCTCTAACATAGCCCTTGTTCGTACCCTGGCTTCTATTGCCTTCCCTGGTTTCCACCCCACTTCATGAGCAGTATATACCCCTTTCAGGGAGAGTATGAACATCATCAGGCCTTTTGAGGCTTTCCTGAAAAGAGGCGGAGATCAGCAAAGGCCCCTAGGGAGCAAATGCTGAAGCGCCAAAACGCGCGGTGGCCAGAAAAGCTCCGGTTTCAAGCTGAGGTTTGGGAGGGATCTGAACTATTAAGAAACCAGCTGAGGTTTTTGGAGGCGAAGCTTTTCTCAAGGTTCCTAAGGGAGATCCACGGGAAGTTCTTCCGCGCCCAATCGCGCGAAGGCCTGACTTATGTCCATCTTCTGGGTTGCCATGACTGAAACAAACTTGGATGAGATGAGCTAAACGAAGGAGTTACAACAAGAACACGTCGTTTTATCATATATCGCAATACTGAAATATGGAGTTGCCAGTACGCTTCCTTTGGGGGGATCATTGCAAAACAAGCGTCCGAGCTTTCTGAAGAGAACAAAGGGCAAACACAATAGGGAAGTTACATTCGACCAAGAAAGGCCTGTCAAGAAAGCAACCTAAAAACTGTATAGTTTGCATGACAATCAGATTGAACAGCTCATCTAAACTTGGGGTGATCGACATTGGCAACCACTCTAAGCTGCTCGGTTTATTCACAAACCGCCAGCTTCATGGGTGTTGACTCAGATGAAGACACCTGCCAACAAACGGGTTTTTAGGCTTGCCAAACCTCAACTCGGCAAAACGGCTGCCAGGTCTGGGACCCTCGGACAGTTAAGCTTCTTGGTTCCTTGGCCATGTTCACAGGTTTTCAGGTAAGCAGCTGAGACAAGGCTCCTGGCTTCCAAACCCCAATTCTTGTATGACCTGGTGCGCTAGGGAATAAGACATGGAATTACCCGAAAACGAAGCATCCAACTGGTGGTTTCCTTTGGGACCCCATCCAACTGGTATTCGGGGACGGCCTGGACTCCTTCCGACGAATTCCCTACCTCTCGCAGCGGCAAGTCGGGGTCTTCGGTCGAAAGCTTTTGGGTTTCTGCGAAGCGAGCGGCTGGATGTTGCCGCACTCGTCCCCCGTCAGCAAGCAGCCGGGCGAGGCCAAGCTCAAACACCTGGCCCCGTCGCTCGGCGGTTGCAAGCGCTTGGGAAAAAAAGGCGGGCCGCTTCTTGCGAGTTCCAGCTAGTGCCCCCCCCCCCCAATGGTTGGTTGCCTTTGGTTTCCACGGAAATACCTACAAAAAGGATCAACATGGTTGGTTGCCTTTGGTTTCCACGCAAATACCCACAAAATGGATCAAACAGGATCAAAAGGGATCCCTGATGCAAAATGTTGCTGCACGGCGTGCAAGGCATGGCAGGGTAACACGACACATTGCCGAAGGCTCACAAACAAACTTCGCAAGCAGCACTGGGTTCGGCCTGTTGCCACTCGAATCTGTGCGGGTTTCCTACTGTAAATCGCGCACTGGCTCGGACATATTTAGGCCAGCTTTGTGAACGTTGGCTTGATAGCTCTTGAAAGGGTGTTGTTGGCCTGAGGACATCCTTGCATAGTTTTATCTCGCACAAGTCTTGGTTGGCTGTCACTTGAGGTGCTTGTGCCCTATGTGATCCCCTTTACTGTGGCTAGGTCCTCCAGTAAAAAAGTTATATAGGTACCCTCCCCCAAAAAGAGTTGGTAAAAGAGCACTGGGGGACCTAGCCTTTACTGCGGAGAACAGTACACATTGACCGTATGCCCAGGATTCCTTTGTTCCACAGGGCCTGGGAAACTTGCGTTGTTTGCTGCGCCCAATAGTACCCATCGCTTCCAGCTATAGCAAGCAACCAGGTATGGCTACCTCTAGGCTTCACATCATGGTTCCCCCTGGTCACCTACCTCAGCCCAGCGGATTTCGAGAAGAAAAATGCATCCTTTTTCGGTTGTTCGATTTTAAAGGGGAACCCCTTCCCAACAAAAAGCATCTTAAAAAAGGAGCAACCCACCAGGCAACTGGGCTACTATAGTGGCGAACCGCCTCTGGATGTTTCCCTCTCCTGTCAGGTGCTCGGGGCCTGATCGGCGCGGGCGCCAGGAAGGTCTGAAGAGCCGTGCCGGCCTTGATGTCCCAGCGCCGCAGGGATTTGTCCTGGGAACCCAAAACTGCTGCTGGGTGGGTGAGGGAGGGTGAGTGGGTGGGGATGGTTGGGTGGGTGGGTGGGGTGGGTGGGGTGTGGGTGGGGTGGGTGGTGGGGCTGGTGGGGTGGGCTGCGGCGGGTGGGTGTGGGGGGTGGGGTGGGTGGTCTGGGTGGGGTGGGTGGGGTGGGTGGTGGGTGGGGTGGGTGTGGTGGGCGTGGTGGGCGGGGTTGGAGTGGGGTAGGGCAGGGTACCCACCCTTTAGGAAAACAATTTACACGGTCGAAGGGTCCAAAAAACCGACATCGCCATTGGAGCCACTCAACGTGTGGTCTGGTCTTGAGTTGGTTGGACCCTTTGGTGGGTAGTTAACCGAAGTTTAGACGGAACTTCCGGGCTGAGCTGAAAGCCAACGGAAATGGAACGCCTTCTTTTGCACGTCGAAAATGTTCCGGACAGGCTCCCCCAACAAATCGTGTAGAACACGTCTCTATACTGTCCGACTCACAAAACAAAAACACCCCAAAGAGAACGTGCTTCGGGAACTGTGAGCAAACATGCCCGAGTCTTTACAGCCCTTGGTGCGTGTGGAAAATCGGTGTTTGTAAGGCAAATGCAAAGCCAATATGATAGCAACCCACGCCACAAACAACGATGAAGACAACTCTAAATTCAGCGGAAACCAATTAAGCCACACAAACACCTTGGCACAAAACTGGGGTTCAGCCAACCCCTAACACGTAATATTGTTTTGGCGACCCAGAAAGAGTGACGACAGTGACGACATCTAGACTCGGTTGCTTTCTGCTGCCCTGCTAAAAGTTTAACTTTTAGTGTTTTAATGGAAAACTCAGTAGTTGGCAAAAAGTTAAAGTCCTAACATCCAAGCAAAATGCACCAAAGTAAAGGAATGTGGCAAACTGGGACCAAACATGGGCTTCAGCCGCCCAACCCCCAAAGGGGATCTTGGAGTAGGAAAATAGGGCGCTGGGTGTTGACAACAACGAAACACACTACTGGGCTGCCCGTTTTCAGATCCCGCGCTAAAAGTTGAGAACTTTTCGTGGGTTAATTAAATGAAAACTACCACTAAACACTAAAAGGCTAAACAGCTAAGGGGATGGCTGGGAGCCACCTAGATTAACAAAGCCAAGATTCTGGGGTCCCGCGCCCCACGACCGGGGGGAGGCGGGGAAAGTCAAACGGCCCCCGCTCAAATTGTTGGCTCTCATTTTGTTTGAATCACCCCATGGTCATTCTATAAGGACCTGCTGATCAACCCCCCCATTTTGCAACTTGGCTGTGGCTGTGGCTCAAAAAAAGGTACCATAAAGGCACTGGCAAATGGAACCATAGAACCGGCGAACTCCATGGGTGTGCCTCAAAACTGGCTGTGTGGCTCAAACCTGGAAATCCTCTAGGGGACACTTCCCCATCTTTCCAGAAAACCAGAAATTCAGGTTTAACAGCTGGTGATTGAAAAGAACGATGGTTGAAAAGAATGGAAAAGGAATCGGCAACTAGAAACCCCAGCTTTTTCATTTGGGTATGGGTCAAAATAAACCCATCCAAAACTTGGCCCAAGGCGCAAGGGACCCGGACATGGCCCAGCCCTCCCCCCAGTCGGTGACCACGGCGGTCACGGGCGCCCTGTGCCCGGTGAGCACCAGGGGCGGATCCACCTCCGCCTCCTCTGGCCGCAAGGACACGTCCCGCCTGAGAGATCGACGCCGTCGCCGATCGGGCTGCAAAGTGAACTGGGCTGCCTTTCAGATCCCCTGAGAACTTTTAGTGGGTTAAATGGAAATCTCCAGTAAACCCTAAAAAACAAAAATCTTACATCATACACCTGAACATTGCCTTGTAGATGGTGGTTTGCCTTGATTTTGGTGGAAAAAACCTTGTTTCGAATGGGCAAAATGTATCTTTTAAGGAGCCCTGCGTAAAGGGGCTTCTCCTGAGTGCCGTGGGGAAATGGAATCCACTTCTGTGATTCAACCGAAAGGGCTTCCCAAAGACTAACCCCCATAGAAAGGGGGAGCCAACTGAGAAAGCAAGCATGAGGTGTTCGGTTGCTCTGGCAGTCGGCTCGTTCCAGGAAACTCTACAAGTTAGCCAAGAGAGGTGGGGTTTGAGAGTTGGTTAGTCAAAGTTCAAACTTGTTGGGCGAACAAAAAATGAAGCAAGCTGCCAAAGAGCTTGACATTTGCAAACTCACAGTCTTCTTTGCCTTTCGGAAACCCCAGTCAGGATTGGGCCATCCTCTAGAACTTCCGGGAGCTAGTCAATATGACGGTGGCTGTATAAACATTGCGCAAGGTCATACATCAAAGAAAAGCCTGATAGAAGCCACGAACCCGAATGCGGACACGAAAGCGGACTCTTCTCCAGTCACGTTTCTATAGTCACGTGTCTGGTCACCTCTCTAGTCACATTTGGTCACGTCATTTGTCACGTCTCTCGTGGCAACTCTGGCCACGTTTCGTCAAATCTTTCATCATGTGTCTCGCCGCGCCTCTCGTCACCACTCTGTCACGTCCCCCATCACGTCTTTCTTGGCGACTCCCCTCACGTCTCTTCTCATGTGAGTCGTCACCCCTCGCGTCGCGTCTCGCCGCGCCTGTCGTCACGACTCCGTCGCGTTTCCCGTCGCGTCTTTCTTGGCGACTCTCGTCACGTCTCTTGTCACGCGTGAGTCGTCGGCCCTGGCGTCACGTCTCTGGTCACGTCTCTCGTCACAACCCTTTCACACGTCTCTTGTCACATCTCTCGTCACGTCTCTGGTCCAATCTCGTCACGTCTCTCCTCACACGTCTCATATATCATTTATCGTCACGTACAGTATCTGGCTATGCCTCTATATATATATATATCACGTCTCTGGTGGCGTCTTAAGTCACGTCTCTGGTCATGCCCCTTGTCATGTTTCTCGCAACGTCTCTTGGTCACGTCTTTGGTCACATCCTTTGTCGCGTCTCACGAAGCAACATTTCTTGTCGCATGGATCGTCGCGTACCAAGTCACGTTTTTGGTCACGCCCCTTGACAGATCTCTTGTAACAACTCTGGCCACGTCTCTCGTCATGACTTTCATCGCATCTTTCATCACATGTCTCGGCGCGCCTCTCGTCGCGACTACGTAGCATCTCCCGCACGTCTTTCATTGGAGACACTCATCGCGTCTCCTGTCGCGTGCGTCGTCGCCCCTCGGTCACGTCTCTGGTCACGTCTCTTGTCACGACTCTCGCCACGTCTCTTCTCACACGTCTCTTGTCACATTTGTTGTCCTATCTCTGGAGATCTCGCGTCACGATCCTCGTCACGTCTCTTGTTGCATCTGTCGTCACGTCTCTCGTCACGACGCTCCTCGCACGTCTCTTGTCACATCCATCGTCACGCCTCTGGTCGTCCTTTGTCACGTCTGTCGTCATCACTTTCAACACATCTCTCATCATGTGTGTCGACGCGTTTCACGTCACGACTCCGTCACATCGCCCGTCCTGCCTTTCGTGGCCTTTCTCATGTCTCTAGTACTCGCGTTTCGCGTCACATCTCTTGTCACATGCTTCGTCACGACTTCGCGATCTCAAACTGTGCTCCGCGCCACGGTGAAAGCGATTCAACCCAAAGTGCGCAGAGGGTTCGCTGTGCGATCTCAAAACGCGCACCGCGCCACAGCGAGATCGATTCAACCCACCCAAAGTGCGCAGAGGGTTCAATTGCGATCTCAAAATGCGCACCGCGCCACGGCGAGAGCGACCCGACTCGCCCAAAGCGCGCAGACGGTTCAGTTTGCGATCTCAAAATGAAATGCGCGCCGCGCCACAGCGAGAGCGATTCGACCAACCCAAAGTCCGCAGAGGGCTCTCTTTGCGATCTCCAAACGCGCACCACGCCACAGGGAGAGCGACTCGACCCATCAAAGTGCTGCGCCTGCCACGAAATCTGCACGAATGTACTGCGCCTGCCACGAAATCTGCACGAAAAGCTTTAAAGTGCTGCGCCTGCCACGAAATGTGCACGAACAGCTCGAAAGTGCTGCGCCTGTCACGAAAAATGACGTTACAGCGACATGCAGAACGCTCAAAATGCTGCGCCTGCTACGTAATCAGAATTTGACACTCTCGCATCGCACGCGGAAAGCTAGCGCGGGGCTGTAGCACCAGAATGATTCCGCCCGATTTCTTGAAAATCTGCAGTCGTGAAGCCAAGCCGATTGTACGACAGGGCCAACGAAAACGACACTCGAGGAAACGCTTGCGCGCGTCCAAGCAAAAAGCGACGACCCCTGAAACGCGAATCAGAATGGATTTGCAACGCAAACGTGAACCTTGACAAAACACTGCGCCTGCACAGCAAAACGACATGTGATATGCTAAGAGCTACGATTCCCGCACAGAGGCACGCAAAATGACACGCTTCAAGTCATGCAAATGGCACGTTTTTCGCTCTCCCATCGGAACTGCGACCGCGACACTCACGAACACATACGAACGCTTGCGAACGCTTGGGGACATACATTCAACGACTTCTGGTCACGTCCTAACCCCCAGGCCCGACCTCTAAACGGGAACCCCTCTGCAGCGCATTCGGAAACAAACAAACACGCAAAACATTAAATAGACAAATCAATAAGTCAATGCATAAAAACATAAATAAAACAAGCATGAAGAACAACAAGCAAACACGCAAACAAACAAACAAACAAACAAACAAACAAACAAGCAAGCAAGCAAACAAACAAACGAACAAACAAACAAACAAGCAAGCCAGCAAACGAGCATGCAAACACACAACTCCCCAACACAAACAAACAAACACACACACACAAATTATTGAACAACTCATAAAGCAACACCCAAATAAAAATACATACATCAACAAACAAATGCATCACAATGCATAAAGACAAATATATAGATAACTGACTAAATAAACACAACACTAATCCATAAATACGTAGCTAAATCAACACACAACAAATAACAACACACGACGAACAATACCAACTAACAAACAAATTAAATAAGCAAATAACTCAAATACAATAATAAACATACACAACTAAGAATAAACAAATACATGAATAAACAAAAAATATATACGTAAACAAATAACAAATAAGTAAACAAAATAAAACTAGAGGACAATTGGCCCGAAAGCATTTTTCCCCAGGTGCTCATCCAGCCGCGGAGGCACCTTTTTACATCGCTGCGGCGAGCGTGTCTGCACGCGGCGATGCGCAATGTGTATGGTCACATGAGAGCTCCTTCTCATCGTCCTACGAGAGGAAACATGGCAGTGCTCGATCCCATTTACATCCGTTAAAACAAGAAGAGTAAAGCTCGTAAAGCTCGAAACGAATTACAAGCAAAAGGCAAAGCTATCAATAGCAAAGCTTACACGACGGCCACAGTTTCTGCAAAGCACGCTCGCGCAACTTAGCTCTGTGCAAGATGGCTCTGCGCAGCTTGGCTCTGTGAAAGTTGGCTCTACGCAAGCTACTTTTCGCGAGTGGCTCTGCGCAACTGGCTCTGTGCAAGTTGGCTCTGCACGAGTCTGCTCGGCGCAATGTGCTTTGCACGAACTGCGCCGCGCGATTTCTCACGAAAGTGGTCTGCGCAAGCTGCATTGTTCCAGGCTGCTGCGCGCAAGTTGCTCTCTGCAAGCTGCTGCACGCAAGTGCTCTGTGCAAGTTGCTCTGCGCAAGTGCTCTGAGCAAGTTGCTCTGCGCAAGTGCTCTGCGCCAGTTGCTCCGTGCAAGCGCTTTGCGCATGTGCTCTGTGCAAGTTGGTCTGTGCAAGTTGCTCTGCGCAAGTGACTCTGCGCAAGTTGCTCTGCGCAAGTGCTGCCGGAATGTACTTCGCGTGCTATTTTTGTACTTAAAAGTTGCGATTTTCCAGCCGGAGCTGCGGGAGTGTGCTCCACGTACTACGTTTGTACTTAAAAGTTGCGATTTTCCAGCCGGAGCTGCGGGAGCATACTCCGCACACTACTACGTTTGTACTTAAAGGCTGCGATTTTCAAGCCGGAGCTGGCGCGGACCAGGGGGGAATCGAACCCACGACCGCGGGATTGCGAAAGCAGGCGCGCAAACCACGAGACAACTTCTAAAGGCCATTTCGCCAGCAACAAAATCGCACGGCGCCACAGCGAGAGCGCTTCGACACGCATGATCTCCCCAAAGGGTTCATCCAAAACAATCAAAAACGCAAAAAGCCTCGAGTTTTTGCGCCTCGACCACGCCGATCCCCGCAGAGGGTCGCGCGGGCACCGCAAAAAAACGCAAAACACCTTGAGCTTTTGCACCTCGACCACGCCGATCTCCGCAGACATTCGTGCGGGCACCGCAAAAAACGCAAAAACAACTCGAATTTTTGCACCTCGACCTATGGTATTTCGTGAGGCCTGCTAAAACTTTGGAAGGCGCCATCCGCGCAGTTGGTGTCATTCAAAGGCGGGTGTTTTTTGTTTGAAGGTCTTTTTTTGAATGTAAACATGCCAAGGGCAAACAACAGTTGTTGAAGATGTTTGAAATCATGACGTTTGACTCACTGCTCGTGCTGCATGCTGTTGAGAAATGCCGCCGTATTGGTTTAAACTAGGTGGTTACTGTGAACGAGGGCTGAGCAGCAATGGCCACCGCAAATGCGGTGGGCAATGGTGATGGGCATGGTGCTGCAATCAGCCTGGAGCCGGAGCCTTCACGGCCCGCAA